GATGTGAAGGGCCCAGAAAAGTCCTCAGAGGGTTTCCCTAAAATAAGAAAATAAAAGCCTGAAAAGCGAGCAAGAAAATTAAGTTGGGGGAAAATACACACACACAAATATGCACAAAACCAAAAACCAACATGGAAGAAGCCAGGTAGCTGCCAGTAGTGTTGGGCTCTGTTGTGAGAAACAGCTATTCCGGTTCTGGCTTCAGAACACAACCAAGCTACTGAAAAAGCTTTTAGAGGCAGAATATCTCTACACACTTTTTGAAGAAAAAGGCTCAGGGAGGGCTAAGTTATCTGCCCTCATGCAAAAGCAAAATTGGCCCTACAACACTTCCACATGCCTTTTTTCCATATGAATTTTCTCTCTACCCACATTCTCTAGGGCCCATTTAATCAAGTATCAAGAACATACTTGAAGCTTACGGCCTACCCCATCAATTTGATTTAATTTATTCACATACTTGACACTAATCACAATTTTAAGTGTCTGGCTAGAGTGGAAGTCTAAATATTTGTAAATATAATTCCTGGGAAGCCTGACCTTGCAGGTTGGGTGAGGCAGACACATCTATGCAGGGCTCTGCAGGCACTTTCCTGCTTTTCTTGGATTGGGAAGGTTTGCTGAGAGGCATGAGATAACCAGGTCTAGCTAAAATGTAAACCCAGAGCAAGCTCTAGATCTGGTTGGTTTCCACGACCCAGTGTCCTAACCAGGGGGTACATGTCTCTTGGTAGCACTGTGACCCCCAAGAGAGGTTGGATATACACAGTGAATCATTCTTTGTGGCAGAAATGTTTTGGCCCAGTTCCTGAGTTTCTAGTCAAGTAAGGAACAAAAACAAATACGGGGGTAGGGAAAAAAGTGAGATGTTAGAAAGATGACTTTGTTGACTTAAAACACCACCGAGCTACCATCATAGTATTCGCCTTCTTCATCAGCTGTAAGTTGGAAGATAAAAACAAAAAGAGAAAAGCAAAGTTATCAGCCCACAAGCAGCACTGCCATAACGACGACTATCCCGGCTCCCTTCCCATGGCACTGGGAATCTTGGACTCTGGAGACTGAACAAGAACACAGAGAAGAGAACATCAGACTTCTTATGGGAGTGAAAATATGAAGGAAGATATTTGCAGCTTGCTAAATACTGCATCTTCCTGAGGACGTTCCTGAATATCTATTGTGAAAGCTGCCACCTCCTTCACAAGGAACGTAGCAAGAGATGCAGGGCTGGACTCGTACCCAAGCCCACCAGGGCCTGGACTTCTTGTATCTGAGCAGCAGGGCGAGGACTCAGCATCTCCCCACAGAAATTGTTCCCCCACAGCTTAAAGGATGAAAAGAGGAGCAGACTGAGAGCAAAAGGGGCTTGGGGACACTCTTTACCTCCTTTGCATGCGATCTCTTCTACTTAGAAACCTGGTTTATAGAGGGGAACACGCATGTATGCAAAAATACTACCCAGTGGCAGAAGGCACAAATGATCTTAAAGCATCCAGAAGGGATTTGGGCTGGAGAGAGGTCTACAAAAATAATCAAGATGCTACAAAAGATGTCATGTTATGACAGGTCTTGTTCACCTTGGTCTCGCTTCTGCCTTCAGGCGCTGGTCTTGCTCTAGTGTTGCTCTGATATAAGCAAAGGCAACACAGCCCTGGAAGGCAGCTTGCTTCCGCTGTTTGTAAGGCATCCAGACGAAACAAGAAGGCAAGGCAAGCTAGGCCTTCAGCATCTCATTCATTAGATTCACTGAGTCTGCCCACAAGAAATTTAGACATTATTTCTGGCTAAAATATGCAAAGAATAAAATCCTTTAAAGTTAGGCACCTAAAACAGTGTTTGACCTCACTCTTTGAGACTTTGCCCACAAAGCAAGAAAGGAAGAATAACCTCAAAAATTACAAGTGCCCTTTGACTATATCTTCAAGGCTTCTTTCCTTTGAAATTCGTATTTTTCGTTACGTATGGAAATCCAAGATATGAACAAAGAGTAGCATCTCATTTTCTTTTCTTTTGGTATAGGGAAACCGTTCCTGCTGTTTGCAAATTGGATACGAGTGAATTATATCTTTCTTGAGTGCATTTCTTCTTTAGTTATCTGTAGAATAATTTAAGTGTTTGGGTGCACAAAGTATTTGTTGGGGATTCCCTGAAGACCTCTCAGGTCCTGTATCCTGTTGACATAGTCTTATTTTGTTGAGAAGCACAAACAGGATGGACAAAGATAAGGAGAACACATCACACTGCTGCTTAGATACTTGTCTTGTCCCTGCCATGCACGGATAGCTCTGTTCAGACAAAAAAGGGACATCACCCTCAGTGGACAGGAGCATTATGCCATGCACACTTTATGGAGAGGAAAAAATTCCTGCTTTCTATAGCAATCCTGCTCCCTCTTTTCTCTTCACATCCACTCTCAGAATGAGTAGCCAGGATACCATAAGATTAGGAAAAAAAAAATCAAACAAAGAAATCAAAGCTTATTTTCACCGGTGCTTGTCAAATCCAGTGAAAATTTCAGTGTATAGGAACAAAATATTCAATACTTCAGCTGTTTACTTCAGTAAGAAATTAAATAATAATAATAATAATCATCTCTTTTGTACCTATAGGTAGATGTAATTCTTCTAGTCTGCCTTTTTTCTACAGGGGGGAATTCTTAAGGTCACTCCTTACGCACTCATCTGTGTTCTCCCTGCTCTGCCTGTCCGTCACTCACTTTTCTCTTCCAGGACCACGGTTCCCACCATCCCTCTCTGGAAATGGTCTCCAGGCCGCGCCGCAGAACGACGGCTGAGCTGAGCTCTGCTCACACACACGGTGGGTCATTTAGGCCGGTCCCACAATGTGACCTAAAGCTTGGCCACAAGCTTCTAGCAGCGAAAAGCCTGAGGCCACTGCAGCCTGCATGATCTGGAATGCCTTTTGTGTTTTAATATAAAACCTCCTTCTGCACGTTCATCCAGAGCTACTCAGAGAGGCCCTTGCCCTCCCATGATCCCTTTGCTCCTCATCTTGAGCAATTTCTGTGTTTTTAACACTGTTTTCCCAGCACTGAAAGAGAAAAAGGGTGAGAGAGAGTCCGTAGATGCATCACATACCTTCTTCAGGGGCTTCCTCTGCAGGTGGCAGGGTGCAAGCAGTGATGGAAAGGCGGGAAATGGGGAAAAAAGAGAACAGAACAGATTTAAAATGCTTGGAAATCTGAAAAAGAGGTCAGGGAATGCATGAAGGGAGGCAGAAAATGGAGGAATTAGTGAATTAAGGCAAGGAGAAAAGGTATCTGGAGAGGCTGTTGGAAGTTAAAGATGCTGTAAGGTTAAAGTGGTAGGCATGGAGATTAAAGGAGAAAAGGGCTCCGCGGGATCATTTGGGGTTAATGTTTGTTTCTCTTGTTTTGTTCTCTTCTACCAATCCAGGACTCCTGTTCACACCCAGACAAACAGTGTGGCAGCCACACAGAGGATAGCAGAAGTCATGTCACATACCTGGCTCATGAACTTCATCAGGTGTGAAGTGTCATGGAACAAGATGCGATATAGAATAAGAGAATGAGAACGAGAAACCTGTTATTTTCACACTCCGTAAGGGCTTTGGAGACAAAGGTAGAGAGAAAAAGGGGCTAGAGGAGGAAAGTTAGGCAATAAATCTGCTGTAAAATAACTTAATTACATTTGAAATAGCATATAAACAGAAGTCACGGGAAGGAAAGGAGCTCTGTCAGTTGAAAAAGGCGGATTTATAATACAGTTTTTTTAAAAAATCAAAATGATCAGCATTACATACATAAAGCACAGCTCGCCAGCACAATATACCAGGATTCACCTTGACTTTAGGTATGCACATGAACATAACCAGCACTTTCAGAGCATTCCAAGCACCATTGGATCTGTCATTTGCAGCGGTAGCATTTCATTCACTTGAACTAAGAGCAATCTGGTTCAGAAATAAATCTGAAATACTTTCTGTAACTCACCTTCATCACTGAGCTAACCTCAAAAAGCTCTTGGTTCTGCTTCTGTAGATCTATGCCTCATGCTATATTCTTCCTTGAATACATTTTGGAAATATATGTATATAATCTACCCTGTTCTTCACATCTGTTTGCAATGTAGATTTACATGGCATTATTTTATAGGAAGAAAGCACTGATTGTAAGTCTGTGTAGATCTACATTACATTCCTCTGCTTTTTGATAGAACAAGAACCGATCAGCAATGTAGATTTGAGGGGCAGATTTTGCTTTTCAGCTGTGTACACACCACTGAGTGATTTTCTAAGGAGGCATAAAAGCAATGCAAAATTTCTCAGTATTTACATTCTCTGTGTATATTCAATGGGCCAAATTCTGTCTCAAGATTTGAAATGAAGCTTTCACTACAGGAAGAAATGTTCATTCTCATATCAGGGTAGAATTTCACTCATTCCACAAAGCCACTTTCTGCTGATCTACTGTTTCACAAAGATATACGTGTTCCCTTGTATTTAGTAGCATTTTTGTGCAACAAGGCTTCTTCCGTGCACTTTGCTGAGGAAAAGATTAGACATGAAACTAAAAAATAAAGGCATGCAAGTTACACGCTGTCATTAACAGATCTGTTATCTGGTTCAGATATGTCACCTTTAATTCCTAAGCACATTGACCCTGCAGGCAGACAGACAGACACTGGGAGTTTAGAAGTTAAGTCACATACCTGGAGGGGGAGCTTCATTTAGTAGGAAGTGTCAAGGGCAAAGGATAGGAAAGGAAGATAAAAGAATTAGAAAACAAGTTACGCAGAAAGGGAACACTTCAAACTTGGGTGAGTCTAGATTGAAGGAGTATCACTTGCATATAGGTTATAGGGATAGGACATTAATATTGGTGAAAAGGGATGGCAGTTTCAGTGGGGGTCAAGTACACAGGGAGGGAATGCCATAGAGATGAAGGGAAAAGGGATTTGAATGTTGGCGGAGGGCAACAATTTAAATCAAGCAAATGGGTCAATTCTGGGCAAATGCAATAACAAGAGTGAGCCTTAAGTTTAACAGGAGACATACCTAGCAAGCAAGTATTAAGGATGTGCAATGTAACCTATCTCCACAAAACATGTCCTGTAGCTGTCAGAGCATGTACAAGGATATGGTATTTACTGTAAGCAAAAAAGTTGTTCTAGATGTGCCCATACGTTTGCATCTGAAGTTCCACCATCTAAGCTCCACCACTGGCAAATGTGGGGGTTAGCTCAGCAGAATTGTAAATATTGAGGCCTGCATTGGGCCTGGCTGCTGCAAAGAAACACGAAATGCTCAACGTTGTATGTTTGAGTTTCCTACAAGGTGACACTTCAGCTGCAAACACGAGTTGGTTATTATAGGGAGAATGAAATTCAGGGAATTGCAAGAACAGATTGATCTTTTCATGACTTTTTCTTCAACATTTTCAAATTCCGATGTACATACAGACCAGATGAAGACATAGGAATTTAGAAGTCGTACACTTTTTAATTAGTGGAAAGCAGCAGTGAAGAAAAATAAAAGAATCAGAGCAAGGGACCCAACAGCCACAACTCTGAACTCGTGTTAGAAGGGCATAAGGACAGCAATGTTAACAAAAAAGAAAGCACATAATACCACAAGGATATGAAGTAAACAGGACAGACCTTCTTCAATGTTATTTTTCTCCTAATTTGGTTCAAATTGCTGTTAATCAAATTGTAACATGCTGCTGTTTGGTGCAATTTTTGACCCCATGTATGTCAAAACTTGAGGTGACCACACAGGGCTTTGGGAGACGCATGGGTAGTTCACAGAATAGCAGCAGGGAAGTAGCCAGGATGAGAGCCATGGTACTGGGGACATTTAATATGTGCAAATCAACATATTAGTAGTCAACAGAGAAGAAATAATGCAGTTAGAATAGGGACAGACGTGTGTGAAGTGAGACACTGTGAGATTAGGAAGGAAATGAGCAGCATGCTGATGGATGTTGGAGTGTCATAAAAAAATCAGATAGGCCTCATCTCACTAACTTTAATTGCGGAAAAAAAATCTGTTCTCATCAAACCTAAGAATCTCCCTCTATGGGCAACAAAGTGACATAACTGAGGTGAACTGCTGTTGAGATGAAACTGTTTTAATAAAGGTCTCTGAAATTGCACAGAGTAGTTTCCACAGACAGTTTAGATGACCATACCAGTTTGATTTCTGCTTTTTCCCATAATAAACATCAGCATGCCCCCATATGTGGCCTAAGGGCAGCTCCAAGTGTGCTCAGTGGCCACTATTGCAGTTTATACATTGAAAGAATCTGATTAACAAACTGTTATTACATTTTTCACGCAATTGTTAGCTCTTATCCTCATTATTACACATCACACACAGAGGAAAGTATTACTGATGGAAGAGGTAAGGAAGTTGTAAGTTACAGTTTATCATTATTATGTGTATTTTTATCTCGTTTTCTTCCACCACTTTGAATTCCTGAGTATAATATTAGAGTTACTGCTATGATTTTCGATCAGAAATCACAGTTTTGATTAAATTGCAGTGTTTTTAAAATCCTGTAAATTTAGCAAAAATTTAGGTTTAAAAAAAAAAAAGGAAACTTTTTTCACAACCACAAGAATTTGTATAGATATTAACATTTCTAGAACAAGACTCCTCACGTTTTGCTATGGAACAGTCTTTTGTTCCAAATTTATATTCTTGCATTACAAAGCATATACTCCGTATTATTAAAAAAAGCCAAAACTGCAGGAACATTTCAAAAAATTATTCACTCCTAATGTAACTATTTTAAACTCTGATAGATTAGTTTTGCCTTTTTTTTTTTTTCCTTCAAAAGTTCCATTTTTTTTTCCCTAATTCAAAACATGGGCCAATTGGGTCCACTCTGTTGTGCAGCTGAAGTTGCAGCACACAATAACCCTTCAGATTGATGCAGAGGAATTCAGAAGTCACATACCTGCTGGTTCATGGACTTCTTTAAGAGGAAAGGAGCAGGGAAGGAGATGCAAAGAAAGATAAGAGAATTAGAGTAGGAAAGAGAGGATGATTTTTAAAAATTACATTTTTTTTTTCTTTTAGATAGGGTGGAGGTATTAGAGGGATAAAAACATTAATAAGATTAAAAGAAAAAATAGAAGGCACATAGGGATATGAACGGGAAAACCGAGGAGATGAAGGAGAGAGTTTGGGGAGATGAACAGCATGGAGGAATAACATATACATCCATAACAAGTGCTGTTGGTTGCCCTTGATTGACAAAAAGGTTTGCTAGCATTTAAAGTCCCCTTTAAATGCACGAAAAGAGCATAAACTACCCGCGCTTATTCATGTGCATAGAAATCCCAGCTCCTTGGGAAATCAATGTGGGTGGAGAAGGCAGCATTGATTTCCTCAGTGCCCAGGATTTCACCACCGGTGTGTTGGGTGGCACCCCGCTCTCGGGAAGGTAAATCTGGCCACGCTAGTGCTTGACAGTCTGTGGGACCAAGTGCCCCTTGCCAACAGGAGGCATGAAGGGCAACGATACAGGGGGTTGGGTTAGGGGCTTGGGGTAACCTCCAACTTTGTTAATCGTACTGTCTGGCCAGCTCTTGCCTTTGATGTCCATTGTATAAGCAAGAATGCTGTGCCCATTTCTGCATAATGTACATTAACCCAGGGAAATGCCATTATTTTAGGGAAAAAAAAAAGAGCGCGAATTCTCTGAACTGGCATTTTCTGTAGATACTGCAATCAAACAAAGCGTCGATACTTAACCCCATGTTTAGTCCAACAAAAACCAAAATATCGCGGTGTTACTCATCATGTCAGATAAAAAAAAAAAGTCAAAAAGTCTCTCCACCTCAGTATACATTTCTGTAAAAGCGAATTTCATTCTTGATGAATGATCCAGGAGCAGGAGGAGGTAGCACGGCCTGAGAGACATGGCTTGGACGTGGGAGCTCAAAACCTAGTCCCAGGCATGTGCCTGACCAGAAATGCATTCAGGAACACTATCCCCTTGCCAGCAGTATCCATACAGATAGTTTGGGTGTAGAAATGAGAGCACCAAAGAAAGCATCAGCAATGCCCAGCCTGTGCCCCGGGGTCTGGGAGATGCCTGCTGCCACTGGGGAGACCATCTGGTGGTAACT